CACGGCTGATGCATGAGGAGTGAACTGTGACAGTACTGCAGTCATATCACGGCTGATGCATGAGGAGTGAACTGTGGCAGTACTGCAGTCATATCACGGCTGATGCATGAGGAGTGAACTGTGGCAGTACTGCAGTCATATCACGGCTGATGCATGAGGAGTGATGCAGGTAGGCGATGTTTACCACTTTGTTTCAATCCACGAGCACGGGTTTATTTCAGACAAATCTAGAAACATACATAATCAGTTGGAACCGGACAGGAAACAACAGGATCAACCAGGCGCCATGGTGCCCGTGGACGCATGATGGTGTTATTGGATAGTTTATGCCCGGATGGGTTTCACGTGTCAAAATTCGTATAAGGCGCAACGGTTCGGTGATTTATGTCCCTTAGTTCGCTAGGATTCAGTTATTACGGATTCTCTTGGGTTTGCCCGGACTACCCGTACTCGGTGGTTGCAGGAAAGCGTTACTTTTCTCCCACTTCAAGCTGACCACTCGTGCGAATAACTAAGTCCAGTTCACCGCGGCGTTAAACCCTATCAGCTCACTCATTCAGATCACCAACCATCATCAAGTGACCAGTGTGACAAGACTAATGCACTAAGTAACATGTTAATGGTACAAAATATAAATAATTTAACATATTCTGTTGATTTATTATTCAGAATAGGGTTATATTTCGACTGAGACAGTAACAATACAAGACTGACTGAGTTTGGTTTTACGCCGCTGTTAGCAATATTCCAGCTACATCACGGCGGGGGAACACCAGAAATGGGCAACAATACAAGAATTCACTGTGAATAATCCAGAAGAGTGAGTGAGTTTGATTTTACGCCGCTTTTAGCAATAGTCCAGCAATATCACGGCGGGGGACACAAGAAATGGGCTTCACACATTTTAACCATGTGGGGAATCGAACCCGGGCCTTCGGCGTGACGAGCGAACGCTTCACCCACTAGGCTACCCCATCGCCCCAATCCAGAAGATGTCCATACAGTTAATCCAATTTAACCGCGTTTTGTAGCAGATCAAGCTGTGGCCCACACTTAAAGATCAACGACACCAGGTTCTCCTAAAACCCTGGAAATAGCTCATAATGTTAACTTACATAACTTTGACCGATACTTTACCTGAATATGAATTGAATCTGCACTAACACTACGCAGCTAACAGTAAAATTTCTTTCTTTCACTAAATATTGTTCGCCTCATTGTTCGTTGTGGTAGAACGCTGAAGTATGATCTACACTAAATTGCACTGTTATTTGTCACAACTGACTTTACGACCAGACTTAGTCTCCATGAAAGGTCAACGTAATCCAAAAAATTCTAAACAAATATAGTGAGGAAATGAAGCAATGAAAACAGCATAGATTATTCAAAGGATGATGTTTACATTTTGGTACTGCTCCATGAACACATGCTCATAATGAAGAGCTCCATAATAGGAATCGCACAGTGGACACTACATATTTATGTGAGGTTTTATGATTGTGGGAAAGATTTCGTCGATTTAAAAAGATGATCATCGCTTTTCGAACCAGTAGAACGACAGATTCCAAAGTTTCAGTAAACATTTAATTGACAAAACGAGTAAAACATCTTCGCCTACGCATCATTTTCCTTAAACAATCTTCTGTGTCCTTAAACAGTCTTCTGAACATATTCACAACTGGTATAACGTTATAAAAAATGTTCAACATTTTGGGGAAATCTCAAACTTCGGACTTTGAGTCACTAATTTCGGACAGAATCAAATATCGTACTCTTAAAACAATGAAACTATAATCCCGAGCTTGATCTTGTTAGTTTAATCTGAAACGTCAGATTTTAAAAAGTACGTTTGAACACGTGCAAAAAGTTACAACCTGATAATCCATTGATCGGCTCCAGAGGAAATTCAGAACAAAGAGACACTTTGGTACCTGGGGCAATTTCTACTCAAACAGTGTTCCTCCGATCAGGATCATGTGATTATTAAGAATATTATCTATAAATATACATTAAATTATAATGTTTTCAGTTTATAAAGCAAATATCTTGTCAAGAGGGTTTAATTCAAGTTATGAATGCCTACAAAGTAGTTCTGCTCAATACATCTGTTGGTACATAATTTATGGGCTATGTACTTAATTCATGATCTGCAATAGCCGCAGTTGGGTACTGTGTACAATTACTCGACCAGCCTGAAGCTGTTACCATTATTACTGTTTGCACACGAATCTGTCTCTGGGCTTTGTGATTTATGGGAAGTGCTTTGAACACATTCCAAATAAGATTCTGCGAGATACAAACTATTACAGAACATCTTTGATGAAATAAATATCACGAGACACATCTAATGATATCTCAACAGCTAAATGCATTGAGCATCCAAACATTAGGAAAACGTCACAGGACAGGGTGACAAGGCCCCGTGGGTCCCGCTGGGCCAGTAAGGGATCTAAACATCACTAGAGCAATCCTCAATTAGCATCGCTCGTCCTTTTAATTTTGAAATGTGCAACAATGGAAAATATTCAGTTGTCAAACGTTTACATCATGTATTTCATGCTTTCCATTTCAACATCAAAGACAGTTGTTACAACTGTACATTACAATGTTAAAAAGTAAGCTCAAAAGATGAAAAACGGTTAGGCGTTTAGGTCATATTTGCAAGTACAACAGATGTAACACTGTTAATAAAGTAAAAAGTTTAGTCGCATGTGGGGAATTAAACCTCCCACATAAACATACTCATCGAGAGCTCCTACTGTGCTGGTGGCTCTCCTCCGGAACAAGTCGAGTACCAGCGCGTTACACTTGTCCAGCTGCGTCACTCCAAGGAGCGGGGGTTGTCATATTACAGACAGATCTCAGAAATAATTGATACGATGAAAGAAAGGGATATACCTTTAATCTGCCTAATTGCCCCATGTCACCGCGGTACTGTTTCTGTATCTTTTGAATAAAACAATATTGACGTAAATACATTTCAAAGCGACAAAACCCTTTCCAAATCATAAGACATAACTACTAAGAGCCTATATTATGAGCATATGTGTATAACTATTAGATAGTGTTGATACAAGGTGTTTTAGAAAATGTGGTTCGATTCTGCCCAGCCGGTTTCACTCGTCACAAACACATGCAAAGCCATGTCAAGTGTTCGAGTGAGTGAGTGAGTATGGTTTTACGACGCTTTTAGCAACATTCCAGCAATGTCACTGCGGGGAACACCAGAAATGGGCTTCACACATTATACCCATGTGGGGAATCGAACCGTCAGCGTGACGAGCGAACCCTTTAACCACTAGGCTACCCCGACCGCCCCTATTCGAGTGATAAGAGAGAAAACATTTGTTTAATTAAATCATACATCTATATTCACCACACAGCTTGAATAATACCGTGAATATGATATGACGTTTATATTACTACTAGCAATGAGTTCCGTATACAGATTTTGTTTGAGCAAAACATTATTGCACCTCACAAAATAAACATGAACAGACACTGGATAAGATGAATTCGGAAATAGCGATGAATTGTTTATGTCGAATCCAGTTCTAATTGATTATGTAAACACGTAGGATCCGACGATCCCGAAAACAAATTATCAATGACATCCTCCTCCTTATTCTGAAAGAATATATCCCAAGTATCCCAATGAGCATTTTAGTAAGAGCCAACTAAATTGAATCGGTTGTCTTTATCGGTTACCTGTCTGAACTGGACGTCATTCTGCCCAGATGACATTGGGCTTTGTTTATGCTCTCAGTCTCATCTGTTGGATCTGGTCCACGTTCAGATTTATACACAGACGTGAAATATTCCGGAAAGCCGTCAAACAACATTCCTTAATTGAGTAGGTGAGTGAGTGAGTGAGTTGGGTTTAAGACCTGCATGATTACATTCTGGCTATAGCACGCCGTGTCAGCTCGGTTTGGGGGAAAAGCTCGAAGTGCTGTCTCGGACGTTTACTATTTTGGTACAACTCTCGATCCCGAGCATGTTGCTGACAAACCCAGAAACACAATCAGGACGATCCGGGATTTGAACCAACTGTCATAGGTTCCTGGCGTGCCCAGGGGACACAACTCTGCACAACACATATCGCCGCTCTAGGCGACTGGACCATTCATGCCCAAACTCCATACAAACCTGAAATATATACTTACACACTGCTAGATCTGGATCGATACCAATACAATGATCCATGATGGCAGCAAGTCTATAGTGCCAGCGTTGACTGCGATGGTGTGTCCCATTTGTCGAACAAAACATTGCAATCAGCCAATGAAGTCAAAGCCTACTGTACTCCACTCGAGTCTCTCTAGTATCTATACAATATGGAAGTCACTGGACGGCGTTGGTTGAGCAAATACATGTCATAGAGTTTAAACTTCCCAAGTTTCACAACCATTGCTTTGAGAAGAATACGGCAATTGTTGCTGTGGTTGCAAACAGCGCTGTCACGACGTGGACCGACGTCACAGCATTGGTGTTTCTGGTCTCTAAAGGTCTGTGTGCGTCTCCTACATGGATGAAAACGTGATATGTCAGTAAGTTTTATATCTCATAACACTTGTGCTTTAAATGATTCATAGATAACGATAGCGGGGATTACAAATACTTTCCAGAAGTGAATTTTCTGAACGACATAATGCGTTTATGAGAATTCAATTTTCTGTTTCAGTTTGGCATTTAATCGTTATGTTGTTCGTCTCATATGCCAAATTAGACACAGACAATTAACGATCACATTTCAGTGTTGAAACAAAGCCTTGATCAAGACATTTGTTTCAAAGATAACATTTCGTATTAACAATAGGCACCAGAACTATTTGTAACTATCTTAACACGAGTTGATACTCTCGCTGGGACAAATGACAGCTATTGTCTGGAGGTAATATTTCTAAACATTTGAATGGACAGATCAATATTATGATGATGGTATTTCTTTGAAAGCTGGAAATCAGCTAAACTGTTAGCGTTCTTCTGATATACTGCATCTACAACTGAACAATACAATTACCATTGTTTTCAGGTATGTGTTTCGTCGTCTGTTTGATGGTAACAAACTGCAGCTCTGTGCGACCCCCATGTCCTGGGGTCCTCTGTGTGGCTCTGGGGTAATGGGAAAATGGTGTATACAATGGAGGGGGTGATGTCGAGGGAGACTGTGTCGTTGTTTTCTTGTATATCGAGTAATCTGCAGGAGAACAAATCACGCCATAAACACACGTAAAGGATTGTGTTTGTTGCTTAACGATGCACTCAGCAATATTCCAGCTATGTGGCGGCGGTCTGTTAATAATCGAGTATGGACCAGACAATCCAGTGATCAACATCATGAGGATCGATCTACGCAGTTTGAATACGATGTGTCACCCAGGTCAGCGACCCTGACCATCCGATCCCGTTACGACAAGCATGGGTTGCTGAAGACCAATTCGAACCCGGATTCGAACCCGACCAATTCTTCGCGGGTTACATGTACGGGACATGTCGATAGCAACATATATATGGTCGCTTCCGTGTTTCCCTTGGAGTCGCAGTCCACTGACTGACTGACTGAGTTTGGTTTTACGCCGCTTTTAGCAATATTCCAGCAACATCACGGCGGGGGACACCAGAAATGGGCTTCACACATTGTAGGGATTCGAACCCGGGTCTTCGGCGTGACGAGCCAACGCTTTAACCACTAGGCTACCCCACCGCCCCTCGCAGTCCACTGACGCAATGTTGTTATCGTGTCATTAATCCCATGTATTATGCTGTCGAGATATTCTTATCTGTACTACAGATTCAGTAAAGTCAATCTATTTTGTAGTAAAGTTCAAAGTGACACAATATGTTCATCAATTTTGGTTTTTGAAACCTCCCAACATGTCCATGCAGCTGACAAATACTTTTTTATGCGAATTTGGGACTCGAACCAGCAATCATAGGATCCTTTTCAGATTCAGGACCACAACACTGCAGACTTTTACTTTCACTGTACCCACCATAGCTATCCGTATCAAATCCAGTTATTTTCTACACTAACAGTTTTTATATCGTGATTCTCCTCAGTATTCGTCTTACAGATTACCTTCCAAACGACCGAAAATTGCCTTTGTATGCTTCTTTCAGAAAATGGCATTTAGGCTAATTCGGCACATATTGAGAATTCTCAGACAATATTTAAAAAAGAGTCAGCAATCTGTCTTTTTCTAGGTTTGATTGTTCCAGAAAGAAGGACGGGATCTGTGTTTCAAGCACCGGTGAGATAAAGCGGCAGATGTTTCTTTCATTTTGATTTTCCTTTGGTCCATTTAATCCCTGTGACATTTGCTATACATCATTAAAACAGAATCTACTATTTCACCAGTCAGTAAAAGACATTATAACAAAGGTAATTTCGTTGAGGTTTGCAGTGACAGTTTTACATATACAAGCATTTTATTGTTTAACTTTGTCGAAGCGAAGACGTAATATAATATATCAGTAATCAGTTTTTCGAAAAAACTCTCAAATGTGACAGAATGAAATATGAAACTACAGAGAAGAAATTACAAGTATTGTTGGAGAACAGTATGCCTGTCACCAGCAACCGATTCCCATGTTATACGTTTATTCGATTCTCTTGCTCTTACAAATATCGCTGTTACTCAAATGGCACGGTTATCGTCCTTGTTTTGTGAAGGATGCTGTCATTTGGTTTAGGCATGTTTCATCACCTCGCGGTGTAAGTTAAAATGGCCTCATCCAACACCTTTTTACGCCCCCTGCGCTCGTTGGTTCACAGTTAGAGAAACCAAATTTACCAGCTGGAATTCTTTTAATTACTTACATTTTAAGAAAGCAAATGATGAAAAACCTACATAATGTCAGCGCTATACAGAAATTTCACTGGCGGCAGCATAATGTTTAAATAACGTAAATTAAATGAATGCAATCCGTTTGGGCGTCATGAGCAATAAGTTGCATATAGTATTTTGTGAATTGCACATATTCAAATATCAAAATTGAGTGAGTGAGTGAGTTTAGTTTTCGCCGCTTTTAGCAATATTCCAGCAATATGGGGAACACCAGAAATGTGCTTCACACATTGTACTCAGTGTCAGTGTGAAGAGCGAACGCTTTAGCCACTAGGCTAACACACACACCCCACCACCCCCCAAATATCACTATAACATTATGACACATGATCCTTCTTACATTATGGAAACATATAAAGATAACTGAAAATCAGAAGCCCGCCGTTCATATCGCCATTACTGTCTGTCCTGGTTTATTTTAACGCGTCATACTTCAGAGTCCAGTTGCAGGAACCCATATTCAAAAGAGATTGGTATCGCTGTACACAACTTACCATAGAGCTGCATTGTTTCCTTGTCCTTGCCCAGTATGTTCGATGCCATACACGTATATTGGCCAAAATCAAATGCGTTGATATTTCTAATCCTCAAACTTAGAGTAATAGTGTGGTCCTTATCTTCGTATATCTCAATGCGATACTTTTCACTGTCGGTTAGTTCCTGTGGCCAAACATGGAAAAAATGTCAGGACAGAAATGCATTACAAGCACATATTTCAAATGTAGAAACCTCAGTATCATAAAAGACATAAAACCACCTACGTATCCACAAGGAAATTGAGAGTTGCTCATATTCTTACTGCTTCCGTTTCCTGTTCATAACAACAATATGTTTTATTTATAAATATATGATATCATATATTGATTTCACTAAAATATATTAGTAATAATCAACTTCGACACATCCGGAGGTGTCTATATACACTAACTGCCAATGGTAACATAAAACCTTCCTCTTAACAGCATATAAGATAAATTTTACCAGCTATTATTTTTTAAAACAATATTCTTATGAATTACTAACTCGAAAATTAACGAAACGTTGATTTAAATGCAGTGTTCAACTTTTGAAATGACACATGTGGAAAGACTTCAACTAACCTTCCCATTTCGAACCCATACGCTTATCTCCTGTGGGCTGGCGGAAATAACACATTCTAAGATGGTTTCCTTGCCAACATCCTGTCCTATGCGTTTGGTAGACAATCTGACCTCAGGTGGAACTGTAAGACAAAAAGAAGTAAGCAAACTAGACTGATCTCATAATTTTGGTAAATAATAACATGGAAACGTTTCGATATATGCCACTGATCCACGCTAAAGTAAATAATGAAAATGAAGTGACATTCTTCAAAGGCGGTCAAACATACATTCCCTAAGCACCTGACTTGACGTTAAGAGACAGTGACTAAATCTATGGATACCTGCAAGAAAGCCCACGGCATGCATTAAAACAGTTACCCGAGAACTTTCGTTGCCAATTATGTACTGTGTATATAATCCACTTAAAATGAATTCTTGAAAAGCAAACCTAACAACTGAAGAAGGAGTTTCATTACAGCAAAACAAAAACCTGAGAATGAATGGCAACTAGAATTTAATTTCTTTTGTTGTATTGTGTCTTAAATGGACATTTGTAGTTTATTCAGGAAATACGTCATTACACTTTATTATCTCGGCTATGTCGTGGTTTATCATATCGTCAAGGGAATTGATTCAAGTATTTTATGACCGCTTGGCTTTGTGAGAGTTGGTCGTGTTGGGTCGATACTTTGAGACGCTACTCTCGACGTTAAAGGGGCTGAAGGAAGAGGTAAAGACAGCGCTTTCCGTTCGATTTCTATCTTCTTCGTGCAGCTTCATATCGATAGTGTTTGTTATATGTGTTGCTTGTAAAGTATAGGAAAGCCTTTATGATAAATGAACATAGCGACTTTGGATTTGTAAATCCAAGTGTAAATATAAAATTTGTACATTTGACTTGAATATAGAAACAATAGCCGAGGGGAAGAATATACAGCATGCGATTTTTATCGAAGTTATTTTGAATAACGAGCCAAATGATGAAGTTGTGGCAGCTGATATCGTGGCATCATCAGGTCACTTGTATATGTAATACTTCTGAAACAATGTGATTCACGAGTAAAACGAAACAAGCTGAAGTTGCTAAACGACCTCAAGATGACCAAGAAACAATAAAACCGATCCTAGATTCAATCTGCATAAAAAGGTATTTAATAAAATCAAATGTAAAAAGTTAGTTACTGTAACAAATTGTGTTTAGAGATTCCTGGCTTGTTGCGAGTCGATTTTTACATTGTTATTTAAACATTATCGCTTGACTGGAATAAAATTCTCATATTTTTTGCTGAGGGTGACAATTAGCTGCGATGACTCGCTACTTACACTGCACGGTTACTTTTATCTGTCTGTTCACCGCTGGGGGGACATCATTGAATGCCACACATTCGTAGGTGTCGCTGCAGTAGCGACTGACGTTGTAAATGACAAGGACTTCACCGTCCATACCGATTCCTGTATGGTGAAAATAATGACAATATATTCTTTTCTGAAGCTCTATATTTTGCATAATTATGTTACTTGAAAAATACCATGTGACGAAAATGTTGAACATGCAAGTTCATTTAAATTTTATCTTGTCACGTACCCCAATAAGTGAGTATTTTCCAGATGTGTATTTCCCCATAATTATACCAAGGAGAATATATGTATAACCAAGAAGGTTTTACTTGTATCGGAATTAAAAAAAACCCGAATATTTCAAATTTCAATTCTCGTAAAAAGTATAAGTGTATTCCTACATATAGAAAAATGCAGTACCACATTAATACAACACATGGCTTTTCTTAGACCTCTTGCGTTAAACAAGGATCCAAATGTTACCACTGTTATTCGACACCATGGCAACATAAGAAACCTTTGATAACAGAGAATACAATCAACTTAATCCAAATGTAATTAAAAAGGACTTTTAAAAGAACCACCGCGGGTATCTAACGATGTATAAAGGTTTGCTCAAGTGTCCGTGTCTGGCTTCGTCTCATTGATGAACGGAGCAATCCACACGTACTGACTTCATCTGACCACCAACCGCGTAACGATCGAATGAGGTCGGGGACAATGTTTGAAGACATGACACTGAGAGATGCTTCCATCATTCATAACCTCCGCACCACAGGTCGCATCAATCTCAGCTGCCGGTTACACCATCAATGTCTCCTTTGTATCGCAATATTCGCTACGGCGTCAATGCTTTATCGCCTTTGAGAGAAGGTTACGTTGTTGCTACGGTGTGGATCACGAGCTTGCCGCTTGGGAAATAGGAGTATAAACCACAATTACATTCGGGATGACATTGCGAAAGGGAGTTATTGAAACTGGAGATATTCCTGATTTCAGTTGTGTTTGTTTAGGACATACTGTTTTCTCCGAAATAAAGCAACATTTGATTGTGTTATAAATCTTCGTTGCCTTTGTGAGTGAAGACGGGTTCACTATATTTTAGCAATATTCCAGCAATATCTTTCGAGGGATGGCTCTTGGTGTGACAAGCAAATGCTTTAAACACACGCGAGCCATCACCCCCACCTGTTTCACTGGTCATCACATAACTTACGACATGAAGTATCTTGTTATATTTCAAGTGATCACTATAATTAACAATGGTTCTTGGGAATATTTTTTATGTCCGTGCCAATTAGATGTGACTTTGTTTCTTCTTCTGGCAGAAGTTAGGATCGTATTCGAATGAGAAAAATAGTAAGTGAGTGAGTTTAGTTTAACGCCGGTTTTAGCAATGTTCCAGCAATAGTCTCGACGGGGGACACCAGAAATGATCTTCACACATTGTATCCATGTGTGGAATCGAACCCGGGTCTTCGGCGTGACGAGCGAACGCTTTAACCACTAGATACCCAACTTCCCAAATGAGTAAAGTATAATACATTTTAACTGAAAAGTTTAATTCTTTGGTATTTCTTGCTCATTGTCTCCTAGAAGTATCAATTTTACTGCAATCGTAAAGCGGTTTACAGCCAGTGATTGAATGCAGTTTAGCAACAGTCGAGCAAAACACGTCGATGACAATAGCAAAAGGCTTGCAGCAATTTCAAACTCTCTTAGTGTTCTGTATCCTAAAACAGTAATGAGGATGTTAGACGTATGCAGGAACTAATACTCTGTGATGGCGTGGGAATTATTGACACAAGAGTGAGTGCATGATGTTTCACGCCGCTGAACATAATATCACTCACATCGCGTTGTTAGCGCTTGACATGGGAGGAAAAGCCCAAATTGAAGCAAGTTTTAAAGGTTTACCACGCGTTGATATCCACGAGCACATGGCTATGCTCTGGTGCTGATACACAGAAACTAACAAACTTAGAAACCCTTATTCTGGCCCTCCTAAGGGACACAACTCTGCATAGCAAATTGCAACGTTTAAATTAAACAACTGAGCTCCCACCCCCTATACAAGCAGGAAAGGGGTCGGTGTAGGTATAAAGCTGAAATTCAACAAAGTGCTGGAAGTGTCAAACTATCAACGATGCAGAGCGCAGAATCTGTCCACAGCAAATGGGTTTAACACCGCTTTGAATAATATTACAGCACCTTAGCTTGGTGGTGAGATCCAAGTCACGCAGCTCGCAGTCATTAAACCACTTAGACCACGTGAACATGTGGTGCTGAGGCTCTAATAGTCATAATCAACGTTAACAGCCTGTGCTAATGGAGAAGTGGCGCCGTCCACCACAGTGTGACTCCTTCCTCCCTCCAGTTATGTAATTGATGTAAAATAGTATTTTCGTAAGCATAATACACTTTATACATTTTTTAACTTATGGCATCTTATTTATGTCCCACATGACGTTATATTTTCAAAACAGCTCAGGGTACTTACTTTCCTTAACGCCATCGTCCTCAAGTGGATGTCGGTACCACGTGACTGTTGGCAAGGGAACACCTGTCACGTTACATACAAGCGTCAACGTCTCTCCTTCAAGCGCTGTGACGTCACTTGAAGATAAATCGGCTATTATCTTCGCAGGGACTGGAACATAAATACAGATGAATTTGACAAGATAAAAACGATCTCATCAGTTTTTAAAAGATTGTGGGAGAGATGAATACATGTTCCATGGGTCATATGTCAAAATACATGTTATTAAATACCGTTATTAACATCGGCCTATTGTCATTAATTACGCTGAAATCGTTGATGATTGAAAATATGCTTGTTTCCTATTACGATCCTGTAAAACATGAGTCTTAAATGAGATTTCGGGTTGGCAAATGTTTTCCCCTAATCATATTAGCTTGAAGATTTGGCATTTAACAATCGCCTTTTTTGCTGGGTCAACAATGAGGCTGCACACTGAATGTTTTATGTCTGAGGCTAATTTCACAATAATCAAATAATGCATGTTTTAAAAAATGGTCGTTGTAGGAACCACACAAATCCTTAGAGTTTAAGAATGTTTTTGTGTTTTTTTTTATATTTCCCTGAGGCGAACACCCATGCAATGCATAATGTTTTCGTTCTCAAAGAATGCTTGTTTAGCGCAACATTAGTGAACAAAAGCACCAGCGGATCGAAAAAAGCATATTTCTTATGAATATAAGATTTCAGATTCTCATACCCTTACTAACCGGCAAGTACATTCACTTAAACGTCAATCCCCAGCGAGTTGCCCTAGGTCTGTTTGCTTGTAGCTAATAGCCCGTGTTTTAAATAATATAGTTATGTAGATATATATTTGACATTTGCTTCGAAATATCACATGTTTTATGATGAAATATAGATATTTAACTTGGTCTCGTCGCTATATAGCTGAAAGAATACCGACACGACGTAACTTTTAACGCATTCACTAACTTACTTAAGCATCAACAGTAAATACAATCAATGATTTCTATGCTCTGTAGGAAATACTTTGCCTTGATGATGAAGATGGAAGCTCCACAACAAAGAGGGGATGGGAATCCATATTTGTAAGCTATTGTGAATATGAAATGACGTTGAGAGTGGTAAATCCCATAGTGTCGCACACTGAGATCTATATCTATTTATACTGACTAGATATAGATTTAAGAAGAACAGTTATTTCGTAACATCCAACTGATTTGGTTTTCAATATTCGCATCTGTATCCGTCAAAATACAATCACTGCACAAATAGATGCAGATGAAATTAATTACATTTAGAGAAATGTAGATAATCAATGGCATGCGATCGATCAAACATCCCAGAACAAACTAATCATAGACTGCCATATCTAAGGTTTTCATAATATACAGATGCACTTCTTCCACGAATGTAAAGAAACTCACGGATAACCACATGCTCAGTATTTATGTCTCTACCTTCCACTTTTTCGTAGAATGTATTATTCATGAACTCCAGCATCCACCATGGGAATATCATTAAACCACTTTTCCCTCGGCACCATGGTTATCTTAAATACACAGGATAAAAATAACTAACGTTTTGTTAACTTCTGACTGCTGAAAATTGGCACGTTGGGATCTCCATACCTTGTACAAACAGGTTGACTGTTTTAATCTTGACTGGGCTGGTGTTGACTTGGCAGTTGTAAACACCCTTGTCCGTGCTCCTGACAGCTCGGATATGCAGGTTCCAGTCTTTGGTGTATGGCCTCTCAACACTGATCCTCTCGTCGTCAATGATCCTTCTGTCTTCAAATGTAAGCAAAGTCGACCACTGGTCCGTCCAGACAACCTAAACACATTATATATATAACAACAATATTTTACATTTATTCTTCTTCTTTATTTCTGAACTGTAGGCCAGAGGCCCGTAGTACACGTAAAAACAGTTATAATGGGTGAGTGGTACAAGCGCGTTTGCGTTTTAACAGTGCATGGTGTATAAACATGGCAATATTCTGAAGTAGCTGTACATTTTCGGTTGACATTAGTATGCAGAACTTTACATTCACGACCTGTACTGCCGGGTACCCATACGCTGTTTGGTAAACAGAGCCGAATTCCTGAACGAAATATCTTATCCTTTTACTATTTAACTGACGCCTTGAAACCAACACAGGTCAGTTATCCGAGACATATGAATGTCACTAATAGCATATCCTACTAATTTTGTACAATGTATGTCAATGTACGGCTCGACATACGAACTGTGAACATCGTGTGGAAATTGCACGGTATCACAATGCCAAGGAGGTTGTGTGGAGCCAAATTGTACGGTATCATTATGCCAGGGAGGTTGTGTGGAGCTAAATTGTACCGCTACGGTGTCATTATGCCAGGGAGGTTGTGTGGAGCCAAATTGTACGGTATCATTATGTCAAGGAGGTTGTGTAGAGCTAAATTGTACGGTATCATGCCAAGGAGGTTGTGTGGAGCTCAATTGTACGGTATCATTATACCAAGGAGGTTGTGTGGAGCCAAATTGCACGGTATCATTATGTCAAGGAGGTTGTGTAGAGCTAAATTGTACGGTATCATTATGTCAGGGAGGTTGTGTGGAGCCAAATTGTTGGACGAAGTGAAATGCGATCAATATCTGTATATGTTTATGAATCGCCTACACACAAGTTGAATATCAGGGAATGATAAAAGTGACACTGTGAGATTACATTTGAACAAGAGCACGAGTTCAATTATTGAAAACAATTGTCTTAATCATGTGTGTTAACAATCATATTTATCTAACTGAATCAATGATACAGAAGGTTCCATATGTATCGACATAAATATGTTCTCCTTTAACAGATGGACGTGAACCCTTCTACTTAATTGTAATGTCATGCAATGAGCCATTCCAAAAATGATAGTGTGGGCGGTGAGCTGTCATCACACTGCAAATGAAATATTCTTCTTCTTCTTTATAAATTCCCGGACAATTGTATATAAAACCAAATCATCCTCATTTCCTGGAGTATGGATTTGTGGGATGATGGTTTTATGTTCAAGTGAGTGATGTGGGATTAATGTTACTTGACTTGCATTTCATCATATCACTGCGTGCCAGCTTGATGTGTGAAGAAAGCATGAAGTGTTGCAGCTCAAGGACAATGAATAATTTAATGAACGTAGGGGACACGGGTATGGTACCTACAAACCAATGATCACACACATTCACAATACGGTATACGATCGAAACTCACTCATGTCACTCTCGCAAGGCACACGAGTACAGCAACATAGTTTTAACTGATTTATCCATCACAAAGGTTCAGTTTTAACCAGTTCAGACCCGAAGAGAAAACGACCATAATAGTCTTGATGAAACATACATTACAAACATGATCCATCGATGTGAATAATAACACAATGAATGGTAATTTTGATGTCCAGCAAATTATGAGCTTTAAGAGAATGCAGCAACAAAGTAATAATCGATTTGTTGTGACCAAAGACGCATAATTTGAATAACAGCTCAAGCAGATCCTTCTTTGTGTTTTGTTCATATATGTAAAGCTTTTGACATTTGATATGAATATCCACAGATTATTAATGTCGTTATTTTTAAAGGCAGTAATCAAGAAATTGTATCAGCAATATAATCTTCATGAACGAAAACTTCAAATCATGAACTACGCCAAATATAAAGAAAGTCGGTTTAAATATAATATAAATAATGCGATTGCAAGTATTACAAGCGTAAGCTTCAGATAATGAAATTTGGCCCGAGTGCTAGTGTTTTGTTCCCTTTAATCTATGGTTGAGTGTCAAGTTGATTAAATATTTTTAACAATGTCTTTCCCCTTAATTTCTTCAAGTGTTTTTATTTTACAGGATATGAGAAATGTTTGTTTGGAAGGTTGGTGTCGTTGGGCTTGAAAATCTTGCGTTGCTTGTGTATGTCATGTAATTGGTGAGTAAAGAAGTCTTTCAAGTGAATAACCTAATGTGAAACCTCGTTCATTCATATGCTACTGTTTAGGCGACATTGTCTGAATTACTTTCCCAATTAGCAAAGCATTTGTGAGTAGAGCGTATCTTCGGTTATATACACTGTCCTTTGAAGATTACTCGGGAAGTTTAGTTCTTGGACTAAAGGGGATCGTTATGCAATTTCTTGTCCATATCGCCTGCATGCAAGAACACCAGCACGAGTTACACGTGTCAGTAGGTAGGTTTCCAGGCCGATTTGATCAATATCTCAGTTTTTAAAAGCTTTCATACATAAGAATGTAAACCAGTTTACATGTCTAAAACACCCTAATTACGTGGTCTTGTGCGCAGGTCACAAACAAGAATGTGTTGGCTTGGCAAGGTTGGTAGCGGACAGTAGCTGAATGGGTGACCGCGTTGCACACCTTCCCCTTTGCAGGGATGCCTCAACCCCACACGGACATGTAAGACATGCAATGTCTCCTAAGTAAGAGGTGGAATGGTTTGGTGCTGCTTCTTTCACCAACATCCCTGCAATATCTTGGACTAGGACGCAAGAAACATATTCGACGTGACGAGCAAACTCTTTAACCACCAGCTTACCACACCACCAAGTTCAAAATGACTCCAGTCACATAGTAGTGAAGAGGTACCCGTTAGGTTGATATGGTAAAGAGTATATAGAATAAAATAAATAAATCCACAAAGGGAGTCTGGTTTTGATTCTGGCACAGCCAGGCTGGTAAGGTTCATCGCGAGCCCAGGACCCCGTTTTCACTCAACACAGACAAAAGGGTCTTCACTCATAAAGCACTGCCCAGTCGAACGCGCCAAGAGAGAGTGAGTTAAAATTTAAAGTCACATTGGTAATATTTTAGCCATATCGTGGCTAAAACTAGTTCTAAATTCATAATACATACATATAATATGAACCCGCCAAGAACTTTTGGAAGAATGTCTAGCCTTCTGCACTACACGTTGTCTCAGAGGAGTTATGTTGTTGGTGCAAACCATGGCATTCTCCCAATGTCAGGTTGATTGGGAGATACCAAACTGAGAGAACAAGAACAATGGGGAGTCGGACGACGTGGTACTCGTTTTTCAAGAATGACAGGTCCTAACGAGGTCCGCATATTTGCCATGTTCTTCCTGAATCTTGTTAATCGCACTCGTGTCAAAGATTACAGAGAAAGCAATTATATGAATGATTTCAAGGATTTATAAAAAACGACAGGGTCAGGAATGTTGGCCTCGGTACATCTTCAAATATTTTCTAAAAATACAACACGTGAATCGTACACACAAAACATACCAAATTCACCAAGCATTCCAGTGCATTAAAAATAGTAATCACATAAACACGAGGATATTCGTAGAACATTAATTTACAAGATATAAGACAGCAGCCCATAATAAGAAATCTAAACAAATCTAATTAAATTATATATTTAATCTACATAGAGTTTATCAGTAAATATGTTGTTTATACACAAAATATATATTTGCAATTTAAGTCCGCTTACCTGATGGGCACCAAGATGCTTGACGGAGCATGGTAAGATGGCTGTCGTCCCAGCTTTGACAGTAACGTTGATAAAAGGTGCGTCAAATATTGGCTCGGACTCAGGGGCCACTGTAATCGACAATCGAAAAGTCAGTCAACGTGAGAGAAATGTAGTTACAGGCATGTGGTAGAAATCTACTGTCTTGTGTGAGGCCTATTACCAGGGTCGTCCGACACGGGCAGACAATTAGGCGTGTAACACTAGAAGTCACTACTCATTTGTTCAATAAAATGCTGTTTAATTCCCTTTTAGGTCCTTATCTTTGACATAATGATGTGATATTAAATGTGGAATGTTATCCAGATATAAATTAACCCCGACATGTAAATGCACATGTGAAATAATACGGAAATACGCTGATCGTGTCCGATGTTTTACATATCTATGACCGCATGGCAAGCATTTGCGTGGATATTTTTCTTACCTTTCGTAGTGCGTGGTTTGGTTGGTTTGGGATGGGTGAGGGAAATGTATATGTAGCTCTGATCAATGAGGAAACACGGCTATTGTTGTTGTTGTGGTTTGTTCTGTTTCTGTGTTATGAGTGAGTGAGTGAGTGAGTTTGGTTTTACGTCGCTTTTAGCAATATTCCAGCAATATCACGACGAGGGACACCAGAAACGGTGTTCATGCGTGTTATATACCGGTCACACACATCACCATATGCGGAGATCATACTCTGCATCTGACATATGCACATCTTGTGTTCTTAAAACGCTGCGATATTCGCATCTCTTACACTATAAGCTGTTTCGATATATACTGATAGAAAATGAAACGCAAGGCTATATGGTTGATAAAATGTTAATTCACTGTTCCCATAATTCATTTGAACTCATTGCACTTTTGCATATGTGATGTTACAAAAACGAAAGTCACGTACAGTTTTTGTGGTGTCACGGGAATAACAAACACACACCATCAGTTGAATATATGACTTAAAAGCGTGTCCCGATTGAACCGGAGAGAGAGGAATCGCCATCGGCAAGTTGCAAACCAGATCAACTTCTACTGTTGTTAGCAAGCACCTTGTATGTTACGTTCACGTATGAGACAGCGCTGTTCCGGGTGGCCAGGCATTACAACAGCAGCTAAAGATCGACACGACCTAGTATCCGAGAAACCGACAACAATCAGAATCATGAGCAGGTATAGCACTGTTTGATGCACACAGAGCACCAGGGATCCAGTGTCGACGACCTTATGTTTGACACGTGTCATCGGTTCCCAATTGCGCAAACCAATGCTTATGCTGTTGATCACTGGATTGTCTGGTCCAAACTCGATTATTTACAGACCGCCGCCATATAGCTGGAATATTACTGAGTGCGGCGTAAAACTAAACTCACTCACTTTGAGGCTACAAGACGTCTGTCACTCTGACGTTCAAGGGCTACCTTGCTGAGCATGATGACTTCGAGTTAATTCGAATAGTAAATCAAACACATGCTTTCAAAGAAACTTCTGTTACAATGCGTGGACATATTTTTGTCTTATGTTTTCAGGTATTTCAAAGAAACTTCTGTTACAATGCGCGGACATATTATTGTCTTATTTATTTCAGGTATTTCAAAGAAACTTCTGTTACAATGCGCGGACATATTTTTGGCTTATGTTTTCAGGTATTTCAAAAAAAACTTCTGTTACAATGCGAGGACAGTTTTTTGTCTTATGTTTCCAGGTATTTCAAAGAAACTTCTGTTACAATGCGAGGACATATGTATGTCTTATATTTTCAGGTATTTCAAAGAAACTTGATTTTCTTGTGCTGTTCAGAGCTGTGTATCATATATGGCTACTTCTGGAGAGTATTAGGGATCACACTGAAGTTGTTGGAAGGAAAATGACTACAAATAAGGATTCGGAAAATTATCACATGTTCCTTTTGACAGTGATTCAGGATTGGACGTATAATTACATCAGGGATATGGTGCCTTCAGGCATTTCCAAAGGTCAAATCAGCAAGGGATAATAGAGCAACTAAATTTACACTTGTCCACAGATATTATTAGGACATTAAATAGAAGCAGTGTTTAGGACATTAAATAGAAGCAGTGTTCCAGTAATTTTACAAATGCTGCAGGGGTTTTGCGTTCATCATCATTGATCAACATTTTGCAAGTGTCGAGATATAATTAAGGAAAGATTGAAACAATTGCCTTGAACAAAAACAACAATACCCAACAGATTAAAATGATTACCCCACACACAGCCCCGCAACAGTACATGACATGAGTACACATTGGAATACACATGAATACACAATACAGGAAGTGAATACACATTCATATGTGAGTTATCCACATGTCATATATGTATGCATTTCCCTTCCCCAAACATGATATATATATGGTCAAATAACGGTCATTATAACGCAACTAAAGGGTACAGGTTTCGCAGTTATGGGCAACAAAATAACCTTTCCGTCTGCTTGATGTTCGATAAGACGTGTCAGAGTTTGAGTCAAGTCCCCTTGGGCGCCCTATACCTCATACTGCCATGAGATCCGACTTATGGGAATCGGGCGCATACAGAACGCGACATGATTGACGATTGCCTAACAACTTGTTTGCCTGGCTAGACTCGAAATATATGCAGGCTGTCTAATGAAACTGTACTCTTACCTGAACATACTGTGTCGATGGTAACATGTCTGTGCTTCTCGAAACTGCAAAACTAATAGGCTCTTTCATCAAAGAGATGCAATGACGGTCAAAACAGTTTTACGTTAACGTCATATACACTTTGTTGTGACGCATATGATAACTTCATTCTTAGCCTTGATGATGACTCGCGCCGTGCTCTGTGATAGTGATTCCTTCTCATTTCGGAAGTGTAAACAGGAAAAAAAATTCGATTATTGATAAGAACACATTTATTTCAAATGAGATTTATATTTCTCAGACGACAGGAGACATGGGTTACCTCGGAATCCTATAAGCGTAGTCGGGATAATGTCCCCAATTTCTCGAGTTTTCAAAAGAAGAAAGCCAGTACTTGATCAATGTCGGAACTCAGACGGAATCACGAAATATAATTTGTTTCCGCGACATGGGAATTCGGTCTATTTGCTGGTGATAAGGGGAAGTCTAAAGAGTTCACTTTTCATCAAAACAAAGTTTTGTGTCTGGGTACCGAATAAATGTTTGACCAATTGGTTTGATTTACATTGTTATCACCCATGTTTGGACACATGACTAAGTTCCAATTCCTGTACGGTTTTAAATATGAGTATGTTCTAACGAAGTATCCCATTTGAATTCAGAAATAACTCTAACACCTGGATATTACTTTAAATCAAACCATATATTCTATAACGAATATACTCCACTGAGGTGTATACTTAAGATGTAATAAAAGTTGTTGCCTTTCTTCCCTTTACGTACGTCATGTTTCACAACGTAGACGTCAAGATGTACATCATAGTCATACTGATATCAAATAGAAGTGAGAAATGTGGTAATTCCCTATTCGCTTTGGTAAAGGAAACCCACCTCAAACAGTTGCCAAAGGATTAATTTGTAACGAAACCGCCATCTTGAATACTGGACAGACAATCCAGATCGTGCTATTCATACATGTATTTGCTTGTATTAATACAACCGCCCCCTGGAGCCACAACGTGGTCAAAAGGATCAATATCAATACAGCGAGATATGGATTAACCACCAGACTTTACTCGCTCCATCTCTGCTTACTGGTGACCTGTCAGTTACAAGGCCTCTGAAGAATTGCCCGAGCCAATTGCCTGATGAACATGTATGTTTTCACGCTCCATTGATTGATGTTAGTGCATAGTACGTGGCATGTGTGACAAGTTGAAGGAATTTGAGGAGGACAAGCGGTCACAGTTCCTGGCAGATGCTGACACGGCTTCTAAGTGACGTGGCCGAACGGGAGAAGATGTTGTAGACATTGCGTGTATCGTATATTCCAGCACTGACATTAACGACCATGAACACTTTAAAGAGTGCCACTGGTTATATTATGAAAGAAACATGTACAAGAATTGCCTCAGACTATTTTTTATTCGATGGCGTTTGTAATATACGTGGATGAGATGGTAGAAGACATCTACAAAAAATGAAACACTTTGCAACGTGCCTACGCATAAGAGAAGCATCTACAAGAACTGACTCGGAATATGTTATATATCATGTGGTCGATTGCCAACAGTGTCTCAGAATAACCTGTGTTATACACAATGACAGACAATTTACTCGCGCACAAATATTAACATTTTAATGTTTTTGAACTTACCTGTGTTTAATTTCCCCTTATCACCAGCAATACTTCAGAATAATTTGAATGTGGTGTTTTACAGTCAATGGAACGGTACGAGATTTGAGTTTACATGTGGCGTTACCTGTTTACATGTTTACATATTATCACAAACACTATCGCCAAACGCCACGGTTTTGTGTAATATACTATATTACACAGTCAATCTTCTTTGGGTGCTATGACTGAGATGGATGACACATGATGTCGTTATGTCTACATCACTGATAAAGTTAAGTGGGATTTGGGCCTGAATTAGAACAGCCAATGTGACTCATTAACACAGAGGATAGCGAGTTCATTGAGTTTAACGTAGCTTTCAGGAGTATAGGTTGAGGTGAATGACTTTATGTAAGCAAAGAAGACATTATGATTATCATTATCATTATTATCTTTATACTATATGAAGGTGGAACGCATTCACATCAACGGATTTTCTTCTATACATTTAGCAATCTTTGAAACAACGCTGCCCTTCTGTTTCCATAGACGTCCGAATCTACTTTGGACTTTACAAACAACAAATTAGAGACTAAACCCATTTCTATTTAGTTCCAAATCGGTTACAATCAGTGTCATGTTAGAGTGTGACGTCAAAACTATTTGCTTATTCCAAAAACATAATTGTAATAGCTACATGTACACATCCTGAACGTAATCCACATTGGAAACAGGTGGCGAACCCACGCTAAAGCTGATTCAGAGTCACTTAACGATGATCCGAATTTATCACTTGCGGGGAAGCTTCTACACAATAATTAGACAGCCTTAAAACAACCAAGTTCTGCAAATTGAAATGGATAGGATCATGTTAGGTCATTTTATGATAATGCATTGGGTAATGTAATCTTCTGAAAACGGAACATTGTGTCTAGAAAAAGAATTTTCTCCAAATGACATAAAACACCTCTGTTCATCTAACAGATCAATAAACTTGTATCAGCTTAGATAAAAAAGGTCATTTATCTGTGTCGCGAAATGCTACATTAAAACCAGTTCAGGTTCACTTGTATGTTTAACTCGTACACTGCCTTAAATCCAGCGTGAACCATTCAGAGTTTCCTACAAGGTAATTTACAAGTCGTATGATGTCATTCACGTTGAAAAAAAGATCATTTGACCCCTGTCTGCAAAAACACAACGAATAATTGGGAAACGTTTTTGTGCGTATAACTAACGTAACACTTTGTAAACTATTTCTTTCAAAACATTATGTGGCGATGTTGTCCAGAAGGATTCTTATTTTACGACTGAAATGCAACTTTATGCATTTTCATTTCTAGGAAAGCATGGTAATTTAAGCCTTGGATTAACATAGGTCTCTAGGCACCAATCGTCGATAACATTATTGTAAATGTTCAACATTGACATATGTCTGGGAGAATGCCATTACGTAACGTAAAGTCTGTTAATTGCACTGGGTCGTATTATACGAAGACTTTTCACAAAGTGAATCGATTTGCAATATAATATTCAGTGCCCTGAGGGAAATTTAAAACGAGACCAACCTCAGTTTTGACTAAAAAAAGTCGATCACGTCAGTTAGAATCGCACATCCAATCTGTTCTCAATTCGAAAAATGTAAAAAACCAAGAGTTCACAAATACAGCTTATTTCGTTGATTCAATTTTTTGGCCCAAATGACGTTTTTGCCGACATATTAGCACACCATCCGAGATAATCTAGAAAAGGTGCCATTTGAGTAAACTGATCCATCATGGCAAACGCCCTCAAACCCTTTGCCAACAGCTTCTTTAGTTGGACAGAGTGTTAAAATCAACCAAACACGTCAAAGATTAAACATGAAACTGAGCGGAAATTGAAAATTACCCACAGATATCAACATGCAATTATAGGGTTTAATCTGATAGTTGAGCAGTGAAATCAATCACAGTGTCAGTGTCTTAAGGGTTCAAGGTCACAATGTGATTACACACCGATGAAATGGAACTAACAGTAAGCCCGTTCTTTTTCCTGATATGCTACACTCTATCCCGACCCTTAACCCTACCTAGCCAATGCAAGTGCGTTAAGTGCACATACCCATATGTACACTAGTAATATCTAAAATTGACTTTCTTTACAACAACGTGGGTTGTTTAGTCGTAAAAAAACAGGAGAATCAATATCATTTTTTTTTCAAAATGACTACTCTAACTAAAATCAATCTTTGAATGGTCTGATCAAAGTGTGGATGTACGAGCTCTTTATCGAATGAGATGTCAGCTTTCTATTACAATTTGGCTTCTTCCTTTACGGCCTCGATTCTGAAATTTCTATATCTGCCCAAGGAAACCGCCACGGAGCACAAATATACCCTCCATAAAACCCCTTTGGGGCGTTGATGCAATGGCGCTGAAAGACAATATCCACTACAGTATAACAGCGCGGTATTATCGTTTCGCATTCGTATAACCAAGATTATATATATTTTCGAGATCGGATATGCTTGTCAGACGTTTCGCAGAATGAGGTTTTAGAAGCCTGTACGTAGATTGGCTGAAAAGAACTTTCACCTGACGCCTGTCTTCAGAGCGGGTATGTTTCCTAGTAAAGGTCTCAAAAAAGCACAATTCACCAAACGAAAAACGAGTCATGGTATTTTGAGCAAACTGTACACTTTTATTTTATACAAGTATCAAGAGTTATAAAACACGGCGAATGTACAAACAAGCATTCACATAACAGCCACGGATAGATTGTCAATTTAGTCTCCATTTCCTGAAGATTAAAGGTGTTGCCAAAATGACTCGTATCAATTTCCAGACAACGGAAGATTGTGCACGTTGTATCAAATATTCCTTTGGATCGTCACATCTGAGACTTACCCGCCTGGAGGTAGCGGCATTCTTTTAACTGTACACATTTCACCTTCTACATTACTCAAATCCAAACGTCTTGTAAGGTGGACCTTTTCAACGTTTAACATTTTTGGAGTTATAACTGAGAACATGTATATGAAGATGTTCAAACCAAATGCCGATAGTGTTGCATGTGTTGTGAAAGAAACAACCAATATTCATCTAAAATTGCTTCAAATAAGCTCAATCTATCCAATTACAAACTAGACGCAATGATAAGGTGCGCAGTGTGAAGACTTCTGAACTTCTGATCGCTTGATGGGATTTCACCTTGCTTTCCCTTGGTGAAATTCACAAATGGAGAACCATATGAATGCGTTAATCCGGTACCTCTACATGACTCCGCACATCAGTTCAACGTTTACGTTAAATGTTACTTAAGGTAACGTTCAAAGGGGCCCACCACGTCGGGAACCGTTCCCGTAGTGGTCTCCCGCCGATGACAAAACCTCGCCAAGAGTATGCAACCAAACTACGCATCTTAATTCGACACAGGTCCCAGACTCTCACAGCCTGTACCTTCCCTGGCAACAGGAGCGTATCTGTGTGGACTGTTCGACGTCGTCTACAGCGGACCACATGTTGCTAGATTTGTGAACATTTGAGTCTGACTCACTCAGTGTAGATGCGTTATCATGGTCTGCAATGACCCCTTATTTGCCATCAATCGAAAATGTCTGGGATGAAAGAGAACCATGTTTGCGACGTCTTCCCGATTCTCTAACAACGTTGAACAAAACTCCAACCTCCGGCCTTACCCCAGGCCTTTAAGTTCCTAAACATTTTTTGGCCTTAATGAGAGCAAGGTAGCTGAACTGCACCATGTATAATACACTCGCTACTGCCGACCTTGCCTCTGAATCCAAGCACTCCCTACTATGCCTGAGCCCATTTCTGGTGTTGCCTTGCCGTGGAATACTGACAAACTCATATACAATTGAAATCACTCATCACAAATATGAAAGCAACACACATAGCAACACAATAGACACCTGATCCTAATATAAATATCGTGACAAAAATAGACGTTGTCAATATATGAGTAAATGGAGCGCAATACCTATTGCATTCTTTGAAGTTACATGGACACACTGGGAAAAGCCTGAATCTTAAACGCACGGCGAATACAAAGACATCTGAGAAAGGCACTTTGATTAACATCAAAGTGGACTTTTTGCGCTTTTTGATTTCATTTGAATAAAAGGAGCCATTGCCATTATTTTAATACGCTTAAGCACGTTCCGCCTTTGGCGTGTGATGAGTGACACTTTCACAACATTTCGTTATCGGAACTTTTTCAGTTATTTCAGCTGATGCAACAGAGTATTTTTGTACAGCGCAACACATTTCCTTATGACGCACAGTACCTGGTTCAGACCAATAAAGACACATTTCTCGAGTCATTGCTGCAGTGATAGACCTGGTATACAAACACAGCGATTGCCGGAACATCTTTTAAAACAACTCATGAATGGTCTGCATACTGCAGGATTAATGCCTGATTTTTTGGTTTGCAGATATGTTTATTTTTAGGAATCTCTGCTCATTATTCCTTTGAAAGGTAGCGTCAGTACTTCAAGTTTCATGTTTATAAATCTAAATCATGGTAAACATGATTTTATTGATTTCTAGTTTCCAAGAGAGTTTTAAATACTTGTTCACAAAACAGAACAGTTATTCACTTACATGTCGTATTCCTTTAGAACGTTCTGCACATCAGTCTTTTGAAATGCACTTAAGATTCTAGTTTCATAATTCTAAATTTAACTGATAG